TTTTTTCTCCTCGGAAATTTATAAGTTTTCCGTCTTGATCTAATAACATTATTGTTATGTTGTTTATATCTCTACAGTTCACAGGCAAATAAATTACATTTTGAGGTTTCTCATTTATTTTATAGCCAGGTGAAACATCTAGAGAAAACTCATGAATAGTATGATCAGAATTATTATTAATATATGAGTTAACTATTATATTACATTCAATACGCACTGTGTTTACATTCAAAATATTTAAAGGTAAATCAGACTCAAATTTGGTCACCCTTTTATTATTATAATTCTGCTCTTGAAAAACTGATTTTATTTGAACGGTCTGCAATGCTCCATTTCTTTGAACGTTCTCTACCTCATATTTAGAATTAACTTCTAGCTTCCTTCTGCTAAACCCAAGTAAGTGTCCTATACTTCTTGGATGAGAAAAATCAATATCCATAGACGTCGATATTTTAGTTGTAAGAGTGTTGTTGTTAGCTTCAATTAAAAGTATAGCTGTTTCATCAATATCTTTTATCATCTGTTTGCAAGTTTTTTGGTTTCCGATGACTGCTGATTAAAATATTTCTCATGGCATTCGTTACATTTTTAGCAGTTTTATTTAACGGTATAAGCTCTTTAACAAACAAATGGCAATCGTATGATGAAAGATTATGAAAGAATATTGGTATGAAGCACGACATTTGGTATGATAAGTTACGCTGACTATGAGCAGGACCTCTATATTTACCAGTTAAATGACAATGATTAGCTAATCTATCTTCTGCAGTTAAAAATTCATGACAAACTGGATCTTCCCGTTGTCGTTTCTCTGCAGGGAGAGTTAACGGAATCATCGGTATTATGGTACTTATAATATCGTAAATGTTTAAAACATCCTGAATTAAAAAAAAAACAAATCTCTTGTACAATCCTCTCCAGTATATATTCTAAAACTATCTAAACTACTACCGTAAGAACATTTAATATAGTAACTATAGGCATAATGAATATGTTCTGGAATTGATTTTACTTTACTAGAATTTTGAATGTCTATTGGTTCTAAAATACGTTCGAAATCCGCGTAAATAACGAAAGGTACATCCAACTGTTTCTTAAAATTGGTGAATTTTAATTTGAAGGTGAATTTGTTGAAGGCATTTGAGTAACCATTTTGTTACAAAAGTCCCCATGATATATTAAGTCATCCTTGTTGTGAAAAGA